TTTGGAAAGCAGTATGGAGATTCCTGGGAAAGCTGGGAATGGAACCACCATTTGACCCTGCTATTGCCCTTCTCGGACTATTCCCTGAAGACCTTAAAAGAGCATGCTACAGGGATACTGCCACATCGATGTTCATCACCTAAATGACAAAAAACTCAAACTACTTTCATACTTTTTTATTGTGATGGTGAAATTTCCTGTGATGGAAAACAGAAGCATTCATTCCTATACCTGAAAATCAGATATAATACCTGAAAAGTCTGACAAGCCATTTTAACAAGAAGTATCTTTCTCAAAAGAGAACTCAAAACCCCCAAAATTTTGAATCACATCATTCTGTTGTGATAAAACAAAATTACTTACCTATCTCCAAATCTGCAGGCTCCTGTTTTACTATAAAATGGACAAATGGCTTGATCTTTTTCCATTGATCTCAAGTTGATGGGTGGTTCTGGGTTTTGCCATGTGTCACTCTTTTCCATCTGTTGAAAATATCATAATTTTACTGATTGTTTAAAAACCCATGAAAGACTAAATGTTTCTAATCAAAGCAAATAGCTTTTGTCAAAAATAAAAATGGTTTCATTTAAAAACATCCACATTTAGGTTACAACAGGCAATGAATATTTCATAAACATAAGAGCTGTATTTCTACTTTGGTTTCAGGTCACTTTCTTTTATTAGGCAACCAGGAAAATCACCAAAGTTTCCCTTCTGTCCATCCATTCTGCAAAGTGCCCAAGGACAACTGAAAAAAGAAGTTATCCAGAATCAGAGCTACTGACCACTTTGGATTATTAGTATATGATATTGCTAACAAATAATTTAAGCATGCAGTATCATTTGTTTTTGTTTACCCATAAGCTTTTGTGGTGATAGTTGTATAAATTCAAAAGCCATGAAATTAATTCCAGATATGATGACATGACCTAAATAGTATATCATAAAACAAACATTATTGGAACTGCCATGTCCCCCCAAAAACAGTAATCTGTCTAAAATTTTAATGGCAGGTATTTAAAATACCTCATTTTTAGCCTGTTCCAACATCTTTGCATAGCTTCTTACAAATGGCATAAACATAAGACTAAAGGACACTTTAGTGAAAGTTAGTTTATCACATTAAGAATCACATGTATAACAATGTTGAAAACCCTGCACCTATAATGCTTTGGTTTTAATTTTCTTTCTATAGCACAGATCTTCCTATAAGCTTCCGAAAAGAGTAAGTAGCTGAGAATTTTTATCCAAATAAAAATGTAAAGAAGCACACCTTACAAATTTTAATTACAATCCCAAACCACTTCAGTTACAGTATATATGTATGTAAGCATAAATACCACATTCTCATTTTTTTCTTTTTAATGGTTCTTTCTAGTTAAAACAATAATAGGATTAAGCCCGACAAAAAATAAGAAGGGATTATAACTTTTTCTAATTCAGCCTCGGTACTTCCTATTCCTTCACTCTATTCTATTGATCTTTTTGCTATTTACTAAGTTTATTTATTTATTTATTTTTATTGGTCGTTCATAACATTACATAGTTCTTAATACATCATATTACACGGTTTGATTCAAGTGGATTATGAACTCCCGCTTTTACCCCGTATA